GCCGCAGCGCGGCCGCCGCGCGGGCGGCCTCGCGGAGACCCGTCTGGAAGGCGCCGTGCATTGTGGCAGGGTATTTTTTCGTCGTCGCCTCCCCCGCAAAAAACACGCGGCCCCCCAGGGGCGCCGCCACGTCGTCGTAATCATCGGGGCCGCGGCCGCCCACGACTACGGATGAGTAGGACCCCCAGGTCAGCGGGTCCCGCCCCCAGCGTGTCACCGCGGACTGCAGCGGGGCGGGGACCGTGACGCCCTGCGGCGCGAAGACGCCCCTCAGGACTTCCATCACCTGCGGCCGGGTCACGAGGGCGCCGAGGGCAGAGCGGGGCCGCGCTTCGACACTCCACTCGAAACGGTTGGAAAAGCTTGACGAAAGAGCGAGTAAGTGATGGGGCTAATCGGTCGAGGGCTTGCGTGCCTTGCGTGCGTCGCCATCGCGACCCTGCTCCGCACTCCTGCTCCCGACTCGCGCCCCGGCCCCCGCCACGCGCCGCCGGCAGCCCTGACAACCTGCCCGCCCCCCAGCGCCCACCTGCCCCACCGCCTCAGCATCCCCGAGGCCCTCTATATCGTGCGCCGCCTGCCCCGCCACCAGCGCGGCCAGGACGCTGCCGCCCGAGACGGCCTCGTAGCCATAGAATAGGTAGTAGGCGCCGCGCCGTGCCGGGTCTGGCTGCACGACGCCAAACATGTCGCGGTCGCCCCAGAAGCAGTGCGGGAACAGCATCATGACCTGGGGAAGGGGGTGTGGCGCGCACGTGTGTTTGCATATTCAAGGGAGTGTGTGTGTGTGTGTGTGTGTGTGTGTGTGTGTGTGTGTCGAGTGTCGAGTGTGTGTCATGTGCGTGAATGATGAGTGCAGAGGAGGGGCCGTCTATGTTTTCAAGAAAGGATGGCCGCGTGTGATGCTGGATGCCCGTTAGCTGGGGAGCCGAGCAGGGGTATCCTCCCAGCAGCCGGATCCCCAACTCCTTCCCCCGGCCACCTGAGCCTCCTAACTACACACACACACACACACACACACACACACACACACACACACACACACGCACACACACGTGTGAACACACACGAGGTCGCAAGCCAAACACAGCTTGCAGTTGCTGCACACCTTGTTGAGGAGGCCGAACCCGAGCCGCTTGATGGCCGCCAGCTTGCGCGGCGGCAGCGGCGGGCTGAACGCGGGGCAGCCGCGCTTGAGGGCCCCCAGGGGCACCGTCACAATGGCCGCGTCCGCCGCCACCTGCGGCAGGCGGGTTGGGCGTGAGTGGTCGCGCGTTAGGACCAAGGGCGTGGCAAGCCACGCTTTGGGGGGACATCTTGTTGTGCATGTGTGTGTGCACATGTGTGTGTGTGTGTGTGCGTGTGCACATGTGTGTGTGCACATGTGTGTGTGTGTGTGTGTGTGCGTGTGCACATGTGTGTGTGTGTGTGTGTGAGTGATTCGGCGTCGGCGCTGGCCGCGACGCAGCTGCAGCGGTGCATTCGACGCTCCTTGTTGAGCCTGCAAGCCGCTCATCAGGCGATGGTGCGCCCCCACACGCGCAGGCTCCCGCCGCCGGGGCCCCGGCGCCGCGCGCCCTCGCGCGCACGCCTGCCGGAGGCGCCCACCTGCCCGGCGGTGTCTGTGTGCACGACCACCCCTCTGGCTTCCGCGTACTCGACCAGGGTGGCCTGGCAGCGGTACAGCACTGGGACGCCCTTTGCCAGGGCCGCCACCAGGCGCAGGTTGCCGCCAGGCAGGAACACGTGCTGGCCCTGAGGGGTTGCAAGAGATAGAGTGTGCGTGTGTATATGAGAGTGTGTGTGCGCATGCGCGCGCATGTGGGTTGATGTTTATGTACAGAGTGTGAGTGTGTGTGTGTGAGTGCGGCGCGTGTGTTTGTGCACACACGCGCATGTGTGTGCATGCATGTTTGTGGTGTAGGAAGGGGCATCAGTCTTGAGGGGGCTGGCGGCGTGCAATGGTCCCTGGGCGCCGCGAACTTCTGCAAACCACCCATGGGCCGCCGAGACAGGCTGCCACCGCACTGTCCCTGCCAGCCGCACCCCACTAAAGGATCATCGATGTTGGCTTCGCGCGCAAATCGCCCAAACAGACCACTCCCAGCGCCGCGCCCGCCGCGGCCCCCTTGTGCACAACCCAGCGTCCTGTCATCAGGCTCGCGACCCTGCACAAGCGCAGGTTCAAACTCCATTCGACCCAAAATGATGATTCATATCTGTTCCGTCCCAAACCTATTGTGAACAATCCGCATGTTCTCCTCACCCCCCCCCCTCCACACCCTCTACTGCACCCTCCTCAAGTCACCCCCCCCCCACACACACACACACACCCTCATCTATACTCTCC